ACCGAGCTCAGAGAAGGGAAATCCAGAAGACGTTTTCTTATTAATGATTCATGTTTTGAATTTCTGGACATGGCACATTTAATTTTTCCTTCGAAAAACGATTTCATCAGCCGTATTAAAATTAAAATTATTTACCGAAGTCGATTTTGGCAAAAGACGAAGACAGCGTAACCCGTGCCCCGGGCCAGCCATGTCGATCCCTTGGGAGCCCAAAAGGCGCCATCCGCCCTATCTCTACCCCTCCTCCCCCCCCGCCCCAATCTCTCACCATCCTTGGCGCGCAACCTCGAACCTGCTCAACGATATGCTGAAAGGAAATATGAGACTAGAGCCGTGTGCCCTTTGCGTACTTCCCTCTGTATGACGCACACTTTTGCTCCCTTTGGATGTTTGCTTCTGCTACTGGTGGTACTGCTGTTGTTGCACGTGTTCGCTTCAACGCACGTGTACGTGTGTCCGCACATGTGCTAAGATGAAGACTTTGATTATTTTTCCCGCCGATGTAGCGTTTAGATTTACCGTTTTAATTTCCCCACCATTACCAACAGCATCACCACCACTAGCACCACCATCACCACCACCACCACCACCTCCTCCTCCTCCTCCTCCTCCACTACTACTGCCACTCACCTGTTGACGCCGACGCCTCCTCGGCCGCAGCCACCGCCGTCACCATGAGCAGCGCCAGCAGCGCCTTCACCATCCTCAGCACCACATCACCAGCCATGGTGATCGCGACGACTCGTCACCGCCACCATCGTCATCAAGCCCGGGTATGCATCCGCACGTGTTCGTCGCGATGTGCCGGTGCTGCAGACGACGCCGGGCCCTTCACTGAGCGGCTGGGCCCCGGCCGGTCGGTCGGCGGGGCGCCCCTCGCCTCCCCCGCCCCCGGCCGGCCCCCGGGACCCCCGGGCCCCCGCCCCCGGCACAGCGGCGTTGCCACGCGGAGGCGCTGCGCTCCGCTCTCGTTCGTTTTACTATCATCGGCTCGGTCTCTGCCGCCGCAGTGTCGTCGTCTTGTCGGCAATTGAGAAGAGGGAAAGGAGAGAGAAAAAGTGAGCCGCCATGTGAGAGGGGCGAGAGTGCGTGTGGGGCAGTCGGGATCTTTGGCCTGCTGCCTACCTGTCTGTACCGCGCTGCACTGTACAGAGAGAAGAAAGTCTACAGTCATTATTGTGAACGTCGACGTCACACTAATCATTTACAGTTTCCGAATCGAACTGCAATTCACCTCACACACCCCCTCCACTTCACTCGAAAAAAAAAACAACACACTAACCATTGTGTAAATCATTAATAACAGTTAAATAAATGCGGCTAAAATTCAGCTAACAGAGAAAGAATAATAGTGGTAATTGGAAACCAGAGGGTCGTTTGTGCGGGGAATCACTTCACTGGTAAAACAAGTGTGCATAATTAACACACCAACGAGTTTAAGTCATAATTTTAAAAATTACATGTTGTTTAGCTCAAGTTGCACACTTGCGTGGTGTGCACATTTTAAACGTTTTGTAAACGTTTAGATTCTACACACTTGGACACACACAAATCTATAGGAACCATATGGCATGCAGCTGCTATACTTTTCGGAAGTGTTTAAAGTTTTAACACCAAGTGACGTTTAACCTAGTTAAACGCCACATTGTGTTGGGAAAATGCACACTTGAACTTAAAAACCAATTGGCATTTCACATTAACCACTTTTTTTTACCAGTCTTTGGTCAACAGGGCGTGTTTTACCAGTGTTCAATTAAGTGATGCATGATTTAAACAACTTTCTAGAGAGAAAACTAAGCTAAATTTTGCCAACACACTAAAATCTTATGAACTTTTTTGTTCAGAGTTACTGAGTTCTGTAAACATGCTGGGCTTACGCATTTTTTAATACGCCAGTATGCACAAATTTCTTCATACTGGCGCATTAAAAAATGCGTAAGCCGAGCATGTTTACAGAACTCAGTAACTATGAACAATAATGTTCATAAGATTTTAGTGTGAATTCAATGAAATGGTAGTTTTGTCAATATCTTTTGAAAGTCTTTCTCTTTGTTCTTAAAATGTACCGGTTTTGTCACGGAGTGGAAGCTCAACGCCACGCATGACATGACGTATATCCAGTCGTGACATAAGGTTGAGGCCTCCCCTGACCCAGAACATAGAGCCTCTGCCCACCCCACCCGACGGGTCTCCAGCTAGGGCGCCTGGGCCGACACCTTTGACGTTTCTAAATTTGTCCTCCAGTTTGCGCCACCCTCAACATCGGTCGCTGGGCTCGAGTGGAAAGAGGGTCAGTGTGTAGTTGGATCGGCATTTCTCGAGGTGTTTCATCTTCTTTTTCCTGTTCTGCAAATCTAAGTGTGTAGAACAAGTCGACAGTTACATATAACTGCGAAACTAAAGAGTTTTACACTTCAAACTGCAATTTTCTAACCTTGAAAAAAAATGTTATTTCCAAGGATGCCATCTTCTTTGTCTTTACATTCTCTTTTGAACGAGCCTACATGTGATAGGGTTGCGATTTATATTGAAACATAGGTATGCGATAAGAAACGAATTTAAGGAAATTTATGGAAAGTAAGCATACATGTTTCGATATAAATCGCAACCCTATCACATGTGGGCTCGTTTTAAAGAGAATTTAAAGACGAAGAAGATGGCACCCTCAGAAATAAAATTTTCGTTCACGGTTAGAAAATTGCAGCTTGAAGTGTAGAACTCTTTAGTTTCGCAGTTAAAACCGTCGACTTGTTCTACACTTGGATTTGCAGAGTGATCTCGTTGGTCGAATGGTCGATGTGTTTTTCAACTGCGCTCACAAATACATGGCACTGATGCGAGCACAAAACAAAATGTATATCAATGCGTACGTACTTATGTTTTATTTGAAAGAATACACTTTGTACATAGTGGCTGGACAGTACAGAAAGGCGTGTTACGTAAGTAGCTTAGAAAATATCACGATGTCTTAACAGATAAAACATCAATAAACAAAAGGTGCATGCTAAAAGCAAGCAGACAACAAAAGATAATTACTCACAGAATACAGTTTTTTGACATCACTGAACTATGGATAATAAGGCCATAAAGTGATACAAATGTTTTGCGAATTTCGTCTTTCCAAAACCTCAATGCCAATGCAGAGAAGGATTAGATAAAACAATAATACGTCTCTGATCATAGTCGAGTATGTACACTGTCAATATTTATTGCCACAGATTAATTACATTTTTATAAGAAGCTATGACTGTATTTGGACTTAGTACGATGCCCATTGGCAAACTTCCCCGGGGTCGCAGCAAGGCATAAAATCAAACTGCAGTTTTCTGGTACCGAGTTACACCTACATAAGGGTAAGCAACCCATGAATATGCACAGTTGCAGGAGGCAGAAGTCATTCGAAAGTAAAAGTCTATACAAAAATTTTACTGATCACTGACTCTATTCATTCATGCCTTAGGAAAAACTACAATATGGACAAACAACAGCGGTTTCTATTAAGTTCGCCTGCCTTGCCTTACAGCGGTGCATGCCTTAATTTGTATTTGTGTATGCATAAGGTACACTGTCAAATGATGTCGGATCTTGGGGTCAGGAACCTTATCAATGGAAGTCATGAGGTTCAGCAAGACTCTTGTATCTACAGTTAACCATATTTAAAATTATTAAAATAACATGCACTCTGATTGAGTTTATGTTACAACTGTCTCGCTTCACAAGGAGCTCGTAAATACCATTGGCACATATGATTCAAACTAACGACAAGCAATATTAAAAGAATCTCGCCTACAAAAGAGTAGCATTTTTAAGAAATATTATTATTTTAGTTTTTTAAATTGTTAGGACCCTATGTTTGCGAGATTCTGAGGCTGGCTTGGGCTTCAGCAAGGAAGCAGCTGCCTGCTCTGGAACTCCAATCTCGAGTATCCCAGACAGCAAGGCCTACATTTTTTGCGCATTTTTAAGTGCATTGACACGCCGAAAATGCGCTTTCTAGGCGCAGCCCTGCTCCCTGGGTTATCTTCCAGTCCAGCACACCAGGACCAGGATGCTGAGCGGGGCTAACCCAGGCATTCTGCCCCTCGAGTGACTGATTGCCTCATTCCGAGCTCCATCCAGAACAAGCTGGGGCAATAATTGGGAAAGTATATCAATTTAGATTGTCTATTCGAATAAAATTGTTATTATTGGCCAGCCAATTAAAATAAAATCAAAACGAACGTAAGGAATTAATTTGATAAATATGGCTGATGTACAATATGCTTAGTGCGCCAGATATTTTAGCGCTAACATCGTTTGGACGTTTTCACATAGAAGCAAAGAGCGAAGAAAAGTAGGCTTTCGTTTTCGTTTGGCGTTAAGCCCAGAGCATTAATCAGTCCTCTGACGTGATCGACTAATCTTATTAAGGAACTCGAAATTTACAGTCTAATATCAATCGAACTTTTGGCGTCCAAAGTCGAATTAATTCAGAACAAGGTGTCTGGATACACTCGAAAACACACTTCACATGTTGGCCTGCGGAAACCTACTTATTTGATCGCACGAGCTCAGATAATATTCAACAACGATCATTGTGTGTAGATATGACGAGGTACCCTGGAATTATAATTTGTCACTCTCTCTACGATAAGTAAAGGCGGGACTCAACACCTTCCTAATGGTGCGAAACATTTCCAAACGGTCCCAATGGCAATGAGTGCTTGACTCTATCCTCTGCCTTTTGGTGAGGCGTCTGAAAACCGACAGTACCTTCGAAAGGTCGCTAAGCCCCACCACCTGCCGACTGATCTTTGACACAGGGTTACACCAGACCGGATACGAACAAAATAACGAAATTAAAACGAAAAATAACAACATGACCCAGTCGCCGCTGACGCTGTGGCTGAGGCTGCCGAGGGCGCGGTCCCGCTCGTCCGCTGCCCTAGCGACCCCAGCGCAGCGGCTGTCCGGACGGCCGGTCGCTGAAATCGCCGCGCGTCTCCGCCGAGATGTAGTCCCTGGGCGCGGAGGGGCCGCGCGAGCGAACGGGGAAGCGCCCCATGCGCCGCGAGGTGCCCAGCGAGGTGAACGGCGTGAAGCGCGACAGCACCGAGAGCGCGCGCTTCGATCCTGCAAGCACCGCCACAAACTCATCATCTCTATCTTTTCACGGTAAAAACAATGTCTCATTTTTTTTTGTAAGGAAGAGGGAAAACTTTGAGGAACTCCACAGGTTTGACAAAAAACAACAACTCAGATTTAGGGGAAGTCTCCTCAAAGAATGTGCGGTTATTCCTAATATTTTTGAGAATATTCTTCAAAATCTGAAGCGAGGCGTCGGAGGACTCTTCCTCAAACATGCAAATGCCTCAAAGTTTCCCCTTTTTCCTCAAAAAATGAGACATTGTTTTTGCCGTGTTTATTTCTCTCTAAAATGTTACGCTCTACATGTAAAAAAAATACTGACATGAAAAGTTTCGTTTTGAAGCACATCATTTTTACGGGACAAATTTTGTCAGATTTAATCACTATGATGATACTAGTGATCTGCGTAGTATTGTAAACTTTTGGGTGACAAAGCCCTCCGTGTGCTTCAGCTCACAGACCAGTTTGAGTGTAAAAATTTCAGAGGTAACACACTTCGTCTTGTTATTGGCTGACTCACCGGTGGGCACGAACTCCCAGGAGCGCTGCTCTGCGCTGTCGGCCTCCAGCTCCTCCCCTCCGCGCTCCCCGCCCCCTCCTCCGGCCCCCGGGCCCTGCGGAGGTCCCTGGCCGCGGCTGTCCTCCTGAAGCCAGTCCTGGAGGCTCTGCGCCAGGCGGCGGGCCTCGAGTCGGGTCTCCAGCGACAGGGTAGGTTTCGAGGCGACCTGCGTCAGCAGGAACAGTAGCAGCAGCGCGCCCACCAAAGGGGAACCCCTGTAACACAACAAATCATAAGCTGTAACACAGTAATAAGTTTCCATTGAAATGGTACGCGAGTTACGGTAAAACCTGCGCAGTACCGGAAGCTACGGGGAGGTTTGCGATAGACGCTCTTACGCTTACACTAATTTCCACGGAGTACAGATACATTACTGCTATGACTGACTATTGATGACAAGTGTTCGTAATTTGCCCTTTTCTTGTGATAAATACCACCCGGAACAATGTGCACAGCCTGGCATCGCTTCGGCCCCCGCACGTCTGCACTTACACGCGCGCAAGAAGTTGTCTTCGTGACAAAAAGAACCCCACCGTGGCCCTGCTATCTCTGCCTTCAGTTTCCCTCGCCTCAAAAGCTTCCACTATAACCTCCATACATATGTAACGCACACCCGCCCGCTCCTGGCTTCCCTATGCGAACCTATCAACCCTGTTGCCGCATCCATTTCACACACGAGAATCGCAAATCTACCCCGCCCCAGTCGGCTACAGACAAGCAGCATGAAAGCAGCCTTACAGGAAGAGACACAACATAGTCTGCGCAAGCGGGGGAGGCGAGCTGGAACACTGACTCAAAATTCAAAAATTCAACTCATTTGCTGCCTGAAATAAGCACTTAATAATTGTCGGGCAGAATTTTCGGCAAACTTCAATGAAAGCATACATGCGTATATTGTACACCCAGTGTTTCAAATTTTGATTTTAACCTCTGTCTTTAAAGGCCAGCAACAAAAAATACTGTGACATCACGAGGCATCGCACGCGCAGGGTACCCCCCTGTTGCGTCATTTTCAACAGTATGACGCAACGAACCAAAGAGAGAAATGGATATGATCGGAACATACTCACTAAATCCCGACATGGTACGCTCAATTTCCTCTCCTGCAAGATCGACACTGCAAATACAAACGTGCAACTTAGCTTCTTTTAGCATCGTTAACACATTTCGTGCGGCACTACCATACAATGGGGCACGCGTTACTGGTTTTGCGTAGTTCTAGGATGCAAGCCCAACCGAATGCGTAAGCGGCCCTAACTGAAATTTGACGGCACATCGTAATCCCAAGTGTGTGAATGTCGCACACTTGTAGGCGTGTGAACGACATGTTCACAAAGTGTGTAAATTTGAAAGGAACGTGCACACCCTTTATCCCTTAACTGTACGAATGGGCAATTCGCACTGATTCACACACCTGCAAGTGTGCGGCATTCGCGTTTCCGGTGATGACAGGGACGCAGGCAAGTTGCCGATGAAGCGAAGTGGAGCTGGCTACCCGGTTTGGCGGTAGAGCGGGCCTTGCTTGTTTTTACTGTGCTATCTACTTTTACTTTTCATCGAGGGGTGCCCAACTGTAGTAATCAGGTGTACACAGACTTGGTAATCACTGGTAATCACTGGTAATCACTGGTAATCCCTGGTAATCCTCACACTCGTGAGGGTCCTTTAAAAGGACAAATTTGTTGATTTAGACATGAATTTTTGTGCACATCTTGCCTAAATGCCAACGCGCATGTTTAATATGGCATCTTTGCATGCCTCCCATGGACAAAATCATGATTTGGCCAATCATAAAATGCGAATTTGTAACTTGCATGATAAAGAATCAAGAACTACCAAAGAGTTGCATCTTTCTAGGAACAAAAAATGGCCGTTTCGATTAAGAATACAGGTGGATCATACCTTGTATACATAGTTAATCTTTGGTAATCATTGGTAATCTTTACAATTTGGTAATCCGGTGTACACATTTTTATGGAGTTAAGCACCCCTCGCTTTTCATGTTGGCGAGTCCCAGTCGAGCCGCCAGGACGGTGGGACAATTCGTTCACATTAGTCTTGTCCCCGGCTATGCGTATAATTATTTCTCGTCATGACTATTAGCCCCACTTTCAACGCTGTTATTAACACAATGACCAGGTGCCTTAGCCACGCTGGGCCACGCCCTGCGCAACAGAGCTTAGCACTCAGTCACCGTGACACTCGGGGGCTGGTGACGAAAGGGCGCACACCCACCTAGTGAATAAAAAGAAGAAGGGCTGCATTTAGAAATTTCAAATGACTGCAGCGTCAAAGTAAGGGGGGGCAGGTGTGAAGAGAAGCGCGTCATTGCAAAACCGCCACGTGGTCACCAAAATCGACAACAAAAACACCAAGAAAAACTGTTCCTCGTTTCAAACATTTTTCCATGTTTCAAGTCCTGAGCCAACGTAAAATTTACTCTTGAAACAAGCTGGGATTTCTTAAATAAAAGAAAAATCTTATTCCAAAGACAAATTCGACTTGTTACAAGAGTGACTTTGATCTTGGGTTACTATGCACTTGAAACAAGAAAGTATTTTTCTAGTGAACGTGCATGACGTTAATATAGCAACATTGTTGACCAAAGAAAGGCTCCCACTGACAATTATTTTACAAAATTTAGACACTCACGTGTGCGCCTGCAACTCATAATTTTATGGAGCTTTTCTGATTTGCATCGTGCCCAAACACTAAACTTTAGTAGCTAAACTTTTGAGAAATGTCGAATGTTGCAAACCACCTGGCTCAGTGTGACACCATGAAGTGTCCTCAAGTTTTACACATGGAACTGAACATCATTTCGCTTGTCGCTAATGGAAAGCACGCACGACGGTCGGCCGCTGGCAGAAGCACGCACAGCGCTCAGCCGCTGGCCAACCCACGCAAGTCCATTTTTCGAACAATTGAGATTATCTATATATTCTGAAAGAATTTCCTCATTCCAACGGTACATCTCTCCAAAAATCACCAAAAAATGGATTGGATTGATTTTGCTAGAGGCGCTCTGCCGTGCGTGCTTTCCATTAGGGACAAGCGATTTGGTGTGCAACACTGCACTTTACCTTTCTACATTTTTATTTGTTCCAGTACAAAATTGATTATAAATCAAATAAGGAGAATTACCCGAGGCAAAGTAATGGTCTGAATGTTGTCTGGAACCTTGTCGATGGTGACGGTTAATTCGTAGATAAAAGGCAGTTAAACGGCAGCTCATCGGCAGACAATCGGCAGTCTATCGGTAGCCAAACCGTAGTCAAACGGCAGACAATTCTCTCTGTCAAACGGCTGACAAACGGCAGACAAACCACAGCCAAACCGCAGTCTATCCTCAGCCCATCCTCAGCCCAGTTCGACTGAGGATTGACTGCCGTTTGTCTGAGGATCGACTTAAGCTCTCAGACAATCTTCAGTTCTCTGTACGAGATGAACATGAAAACAATCGACTCGGCCGGGTAGCCGCCGGCCCGGCCCGGTACCGAACCCCGGCCCCCGGAATGGGAGTCGGAGTGTTTGCTCCCTTGGCCAGAGAGAGCTCGTTGGGAGAGGAGCCCGGTGGAGGCAGGTCACGTCAGAGCTAGATGGGGTTGTCTTCGCAAAACTGCACGAAACGCTCTCTTGCGTACGGTCATCTTAATCCGTTGTAATCGTTTAATTAGAGACTCATCGGTTGGAAAGAAGTACAGAATTAGATTTGGCACGCTATGATGCTTCCGATAGACTTATTATTTCAAGCTGGTCGAAACAACATAATACAGATACGGCTTTAAATTAATTAAAATAGCTGCAACGCCATCTTGGTTCGGCCGCCGCCATCCTGCTCCAGCTCGAGCCTCCGCCGAGCTCCTCTCCCAGCGAGCTCTCTCTGGCCAAGGGAGCAAGCACTCCGACTTCCATTCCGGGGGCCGGGGTTCGGTACCGGGCCGGGCCGGCGGCTGCCCGGCCGGGTCGATTGTTTTCATTTTCATCTCGTACAGAGGACTGAAGGTTGTCTGAGAGCGTAAGTCGATCCTCAGACAAACGGCAGTCAATCCTCAGTCGAACTGGGCTGAGGATGGGCTGAGGATAGACTGCGGTTTGGCTGTGGTTTGTCTGCCGTTTGTCAGCCGTTTGACAGAGAGAATTGTCTGCCGTTTGACTTCGGTTTGGCTACCGATAGACTGCTGATTGTCTGCCGATGAGCTGCCGTTTAACTGCCTTTTATCTACGAATTAACCGTCACCATCGACAAGGTTCCAGACAACATTCAGACCATTACTTTGCCTCGGGA